AAACAATTTGATGTCACCGTATAAAACATATTAAAAACTATTTAAACCATAAAACAATTTGATACAACCATTTAAACTATAAAACAATTTGTTACAACTATTTAAACTATAAAACAATTTGTTACAACCATTTAAACTATAAAACAATTTGTTACAACCATTTAAACTATAAAACAATTTGATGCCACCGTATAAAACATATTAAAAACAATTTAAACCATAAAACAATTTGATACAACCATTTAAACTATAAAACAATTCGTTACAACCATTTAAACTATAAAATAATTTGATACAACCATTTAAATAAGTTGTAAGATCCACTGGAACATTTTGACACAACAATTTAAACCATAAAACATTTTGACACAACCATTTAAACTATAAAACAATTTGATACAACTATTTAAACCATAAAACAATTGTTTACAACCATTTAAACCATAAAACAATTTTTCACAACCATATAAACAATTTGTTACAACCATTTAAATAATTCGATACAACCATTTAAACCATAAAATAATCTGATAAAACCATTTAAACTATAAAACAATTTGATACAACTATTTAAACCATAAAACAATTTCTTACAACCATTTAAACCATAAAACAATTGTTTACAACCATTTAAACCATAAAACAATTTTTCACAACCATATAAACAATTTGTTACAACCATTTAAATAATTCGATACAACCATTTAAACCATAAAATAATCTGATAAAACCATTTAAACTATAAAACAATTTGATACAACCATTTAAACTAAAAAACAATTTGTAACAACCATTTAAACAAGTTGTAAAATCCATTGGAACATTTTGATACAACTATTTAAACCATAAAACAATTTCTTACAACTATTTAAACCATAAAACAATTGTTTACAACCATTTAAACCATAAAACAATTTTTCACAACCATATAAACAATTTGTTACAACCATTTAAATAATTCGATACAACCATTTAAACCATAAAATAATCTGATACAACCATTCATACCATCACTTAATTTCTTTAATATACCAGATTCCACCGGTTAACATATAAGTACTCCATGCAGTAAAACAAGAATGACATATAAAAATGTAAATATAAATTTTCAAAAACAAGCATGTACCCTGTACAATCATTTTATCAGTGGAGAAACTTTACATCATTAACTAACTACATGTAGGTCACAACTATATAATGTAAATCAGTTCATTAGTATATTGTAGAACAGTTGGTTCTTTACATGATATCATTTGCTGGTGGTCATGGGTTCTTAGTTCATCAATTTGAATAAACATTCCTCATTGTTACAGACCATGCAGCAATAAATTACAGATGGATATTCCAAGATCAATGCCAAGAGGTATGGAAAGGGACCAGGTCCTCCATGTAAAACTTTGTTGTTTCTTTCTTAACCCTTTGAACCCTGAGTGTAAATGAAATACAACGTCATATACCTTGAACTCCAAGTAATAAAAGTAAAAGCGTATGACGTTAACGTTGTATGACGTCACTTAGCAACGGCCGGTATACCGGCTGGTCGGGTATATATTGCGTTAGTGTTTGACCGGTATACCGGCCGCTAGGGTTGAAAGGGTTAATGTAGGTCTGTACCTAAATATCGAAGTCTTGATATTTTGTGTGTTGTAATTTAATCTATAACTACAATCTTTTATTGAAGATGTTCAGAAAAAGATAGATGGGAAGCAGAAAGAATGAAATTTTAAACTAATTGTCTTACAAAAAAAAAAAAACAACAGCCTCTAAATTCTCATAAAATTGTAGGTCAACAAAGTGCAATTTAAGAAATTGTTTGTGTATAAGTAGCAATTAAAAAAACAATTACATTAATTAGCATATTTCAAATTCATTGGAAGGTCACTTTATGTCATTTCATTATAATTAAAATTAGACAAAGTATTAACTTTGGTCATGTACAGTTGTTTCTTTTACTATCAGTTGGTCAATACCATCAAAGTATATCAAAACAATTGTCAAAATTTGGGGCAAAATTTTGCAAAAATTGCTCTAATTGATATTTCTAATCTGACCAGGGAAAAAAGGACAACTTAGATTGGAGATAACATTAGATATATTATGACTTAAAATTATGATATTTTTGTCATTTCAAACATAAAGAAAATTTTTTTTTTTTTACTTTTAAACCTCTGTCAACCGTAAATAACATTGTCAGTTTTAATATCACCAATTATTTTTTGTTGACTCTGTATTATGCCTGACTAGTATATATTCATATATTATGTGTTGGCTTTGTTATATTTACTTATAAAACTTATAATCATTATAACACATTAGTAATTCATACATTGCAACTATTAAAATAGGCTTATTCAGAGCTCAATATTCATAAAAATAAGTGAATTTGATCTGATTAATGGTTCAGTAATTACCTGGTCTATTTAGTAATTCGAATGAAACAGATTCCTCTAAAGTGCAAATAAAAAATGCTGTTGATGATGTCAGATGAATCTAAAGAATAAGACATTACTTCTATGAACTAGTGATTTGTGCAAGGGTCTCTTTAAGCATTTGTCGAGGTTCAGATCTAAATCAGCGTTTCTCAACAGGGGTCCATATGCCCCCTCAGGGGTGAATACAAAATTTTCCGCTGTAAAATTTGGAAGAGGGGAATTGGGGATGAATAATACACAAGGGTTATTTTATGAATAAGGGGGAAATTAAGCTCCAAAGAGAACTGATCTTAAATATAACTCATCAACTGAACTTCACCACAGAGCAAAGCACCAGTTCACGTGGTTTGACGAAGAAAGAAGAAATGGTTGATAACTATATAAAACACGCATAAAACTTTCCATTACCTTTCCCTACTTTGGATCTCTTGGAGTGTGTGTATAGCAAATAGCAGATATCTTGACAACAAAAAACAAAGCCTGATAACCATTTAAATTAATGAAGCTAGTTCCAGAGGTCACGACCCTTGGTAAGGCACACCTAGCGCAGGGTTCTCACTGAACAAGGGTCCAGACATCTCAATTGCACTTTATATGTAAAACATGTCGCCTGTGTAAATATAAGTTTGAAACAGAAACAGCATTTAACTGGCATGATTCAGTTTTTTAAGTGCTTGTGGTGAACGGCATGGAAGATTTTTTCTCAAGTTGTGATTTATATCATAAAGGTTGAGATGAACTAATCTAATTCAACCCCACCTAACGAAACTTTTGCAGACGCCCTTGCATTCTAGTGCACATAATGATTGATATAGAGTAAAATAATCTAGGATAAAATAATTACTATTGACAGTTATGCTTATCATATTGCATCACATCAAATATTATGTGTCATGATATATTACATTGATTTAAATACCTTCAGATTGGTGTAATGTGGTACATTTATTGTGAAATAGATCATAAATAAGATTGAATGAAATTAATATGACTTGATGCATCATGACTATATTAGGATTCAAACCAATGTTCAGTCTATTTCAATAAGTGTTAAATATCATGATCAAAATGATTTTATAATACAGAAATCAGGAATCTATCATAAACCTAGTTTTATCACTTTAGACAAGTTCTAGTGATTATTTATAGTTGTAAGTCTTACGTCAATGACTGAGTGTGAATCAATATGGTAACTATATAACAACCCACACCACTCAGTCAGTCAGCCTGCCTGACGGTCCAACAACTTTAATGTTAAACTACTATTAGTAAAACATCGTGACCTAATCTACTTCTTCTACTCAATATAGTTTTATTTCAAATACCATTGTAATATCACTTTAACACCATTACTGATATAAACTAAACAGATTTCAAATGTAATTTCTAATCTTTTCATCAGTCAGTATTAAATCTATTTTCATCTATTCATTTGTTTAGTGAAAATATGACATTCATAATTATACTGATGACAAACTGACATGTAGATGACCTGACAGCCAATCTGTACAATTTAACACCTGCTGTGCATGTAGGATGTGACCCAGAACAATTTACCACAATTAAATACATTTTAAGAACTTCAGTTCATTTTAATCTAAGGTTTCAACAATTAATCATAGCAAACTGTGACCTCAATCCAAATTGCATCAAACAGTGACAGAATTAACCACAAACAAAGCCTGAGTTGAGAGTTTGCTGATTGTAAAGTATCTTATTCCAAAATAAAATACACTGACAACTTTT